GATCATACCAATGGATTTATATCGTGTTTGTTTTACCAACTGTTTTATTTATCCTCTTGAATAACATTGAAAAGCAAAACACTAGCCTTTGTTCCTTCTCCTCTTGTGAATATTTATATTATTATTATAATTATTAGTATCACTAATATTATTTGGTATTTTGGTTTGCTAGTAAACATATTTAGCTACATAATTGTATAGCTAAAAGTCTTTTAAAATGAGTAACTTTTTTTTCTTACATAATTTCAAAATTAGAAATGTCACCTTCACATTCTTTCAAAGTTTAAGCGCATTTGTTTTTAGTCTCTCATAGCCCTTAAACAAACAAATAGAAATTTTGAGCACACTTCATCAATTCAAATAAACTAATCATTAAAAGCTTACTAGGTTATATACAGATCTGCCAATAAAGAGAGCCAGGTCAACAAAAAGAGTCATTAAAAATAAAATTTTAAAATATTTTGGTACACTAAAGAATATTTTCTTAATGTTTTATGCACATTTTTATATTCCATTTCCATATTCCATGTACTCACATTAGTGGAGATGAGGGGCAATTATAATTGTCTCTAAGGAGTATTTAGATTTGGGATTTTAGTTTAAATCTAACTTTTGCATCATTTAAACCTCCATTTCCTTATAATTTTTTCCATTGCTTTTCTTTTGTTTTTTTCCTATTTGTTCATCTTCATGGTAGAGTAGTAGCCTCCTCCTTCTTTAACTTTGGAGAAGTAGTTAATACATTTGTTCAATGCTATGCGGTTGCAATTAAACAATCAAATTCAATTAATGGCAGCATTCATGGCATAGAGTACAACTCCTCCTACTTTTGCTACTAATCCTTGTGTTTGGCTACAGTTCTTCCATGGGAGTCTTGAGGATAATATGTGACATTAGTTTAATCACTTTATAGTGATTGTTATATATAATTCTTGGGATGATGCTCGATGTTTGCATGAATTTCCCATGTGTCTCTAAGGGATGGCACTGCAATGGTGTAATAATTTGAGCATAACCACTCATGAGGATTGAAACATTCTTTTAGACGTCTTCAAATGCGCATTTGGACACGCTATTGATTGTGATGATGCTTTCTAACAAATGCATCATCTTTGTTAAGGGCCATTTGAATCCATGATCAAAAAGCTACACAAGTTTTTCTATTAGCTGAAGATGCAATGTGATGTTATCTAGTATGTGTATAGCTACGTTTGGTACCAGGCTCGTAATACTCCTCCTCGTGCTACAAAATGATGGTTGGAGTTAATTACAAATTCTTGTCCATTTAAGTTGGTGGCATTTAATCTGATGGGGCTTTTTTCACAGTTGGCTGTTGACAATAAGTATGTTATTATTACTTTTAATTATTTAACTTGCTAAATGGAAGTTGGTGCTTTTGATAGTGCATTTGAAATTGTTGTTAGATACTTCCTCCTCAATCAAGTGGTGTTCCAGCAATCTTGTCCGAAGGGAATTCTTTTAGATAATGGTCTCGCATTTATGGTAAAGGCATTTCAAGTTTTGATATCTTAGTTAGGGATATGCCACACTTTCATGATTTCTTATCATTTATAATTAGATGGTTTGGTAAAATAGATTATTCAGACTTTCAAAGGGATAATCGTGAAGTAAGTGAACTTTTAGCAATTAGATTGAGATGGTTAGTTGCCATCTTTTCGGTATGCATATATCACAGGGGTGTAAAGTTCTATTAGTGTTTCATTATATAAACTCTTATATGGTCATGATTCAATATTACCAACGGAGTTAAGTTTACCTTTACAATTGCCACAAACTACTGATACTAAATCTTGGGATCAATATTTGACGAAACTCCAAAGTGTATGAATGATGTGCAACACTTCCTAGGCAAAATATAGTATCTCGGTAGTTTTGTTGATTATCTTTTTGATTGCACTACACTGTTGCAAGTATTGCGAAAGTTGTTAATGTCATCTTTCATCTAGTCTGCAAATTGTGAGCGGGCATTTACAGATCTCAAAGAGTTATTGACGACTCCTCCAATTTTGGTATATTCTAACTATACTTAACCTTTTATTTTGCATGTGGATGTTTTTGACATTAGTTTTGGAGGTATGTTGATGCAAAAGAGCCCAAGTGTGCCTAATTAGCACCATCCTATTGCATATATTAGCTGTACATTACAATCAATGGAGGTGAATTACTCTATAATAAAGAAGGAGTGTTTAGCAGCAATTTGGGGTTTTAAAAAACTTCATGTATATCTATATGGTTCTTGGACATTACTAAAAAGTGACCATACTGCTGTTACTTCATTATTAAAACAAAATAATTTAGTTAGTTGTACTACTTGATGGGCTTTGAAGCTTTAAATATATAATTTTGATGTTGCTTATCGTTTGAGGAGTTTTATAGTTGATGCTAATACACTTTTTCAAGCTCCTCTTTCTTCTTTGATCTCTTTTCATATTTCTAACAAGCCTGTTACTCCCATATCTATGGATTTTTTAGACGAGGATTCCATGCCGTCTGTGATTGCTGTACTTAATGTTCAGTGTCTATAAGGTGCAAAGTAAGATTTACTTTTTCTTGATGAAATTCGTGAGGTTTAAAATATTGAACCATGGATTCGAAGGCTTTGTGATGCATCACTTGCTGATGACTTGCCATTTCGGCATTTATATTTTCAATATCACCTTGAGGTCGATTTTCTTTATTTTGTGGGGATGAATTCTAATAATCATTTACAGTTGGTGGTGCCTTCAATCTTTATTCCACGCTTTCTCCATATCTACCATAATTCTTTTATTCTAGGTAAACATATAAGACATTGTTATGTTATTCTCATAAGATTCATCTTGTAGCCTCGGTAGAAATTGGTGATTCCCTCCTCCACCCAAATCTTCCTTATACAATCTACAACACTGACGTATTTCATATGAGTGAAGAAGCTGTGTAGGTTTTTCCATTGGTTAAAGATGCAATGTGATATTATCTAATATATGCATAGTTGTGTTTGGTGCCAAGCTCGTAATACTCTCCCTCATGCTACAAAAAGACAATTAAAATTAATTGTAATTTCCCTTTCATTTGAGTTAGTGGTGTTTGATATAATGAGGCTTTTTCCACAATAAACTACTGACAATGAGTATATCATTATTACTTTTGATTATTTGATTCATTGGGTTAAAGTTGGTGCTTTTGCTAGTGCATTTGCCATTGTTGTTGGTTATTTCCTCCTCAATTGAGTGGTATTTTAGCATTCCTATTTAGAGTAAATTCTTTTGGATAATGGTCCCACATTTATAGCTGAGGCATTTCACATTTTGACATCTCATTTAAAGATATGCCACATTTTCATGAATGTTTATAATCCATAGTTAGATAGTTTGGTGGAACGGCTCGTTCAAACCTTCAAAGAGATGACATGAACTTTCAACATTCATATGCATATGTCATAGGGGTGGAGTGTTCTGTTGGTGTTTCACCATAAAAACTCTTATATAGTCATAATTCAATATTATCAATGGAGTTGGATTTACCTTTGCGATTGCTATGGGCTACCGATGCTAGATCATGGGATTAATATTTGAGAAACATTCTTCCATTTGTTTGAATAGAGTTTATGGAACACCTGAGCAGTTTACAAGTGGGACAACAACAACACTACAATTTGCATTATCGTCCACCTATGGAGTACAAAATGAATAACTTAGTGTTAGTTTGTTTTCCCAATCTTATAGTATGTGGTTTATTTAAAAGGCTCTTTACTCAATGGAAAGAACCACATCAGGTATTACAAGGCTTCACCTCATTATTTCCACTGTATAAGTTATTATAAGTTCTCTCCACTAATGATAAGCTTACTGTTGTAGGGCCTTCTGAGCAATAGAGACTTCCAGCTTCCTTTCCAACATGTATTCTTCAAGTGAGAGTGCTGTCGGACATGGAAAAGTGTCCCGGTGTGAATATGAAATCCCTACTCAACTCAAAAGAGCTCAAGTCCAAAGCACAAATCATAATGAAGTTTTTACTTTCATTGCCAATAGCACTTAAAACTACCTGCTGATCATCTGAGGGGATGGTATTTACTCTAATACACAGGTTTCCTGACTAACATGTATGTGTTTCCAGGCTCAGGGTCATTGGTTTGATCAAAGAACATCAGCTTTCATATCACATATCCCCTGGCATATCCCCATGCTGTGATATATCACCTAATGTTAAGCTTTAAGGTTATTTTACAACTAAACTAAACTATACAACATAAATTTGACCCGACCCGAGTTGACTTGTCACTCAGAAAAACATTTACCAAAATCTCTTTTCACGTACGCAGCGAATTTGGGAATCGGAGGGAGCTTTTTGAGAGAATACCTGCGAAGGAACAGAAAACAGTCAAGCATTCGCTTTTGACTTCCTTCGTTTTCTGTGTAGAATGCTCCTGAAAGAATATGGAATGCTCAATGCACTTAATATGTTACTCTTTGAGGACCTGTGGAGTGGAGGTATGAAATGCATCCAGGAAACTACAGCATAGTATGCAAGAGTTTTGCCACCAGGAAGAAAACCTATAAATCTTGACTGTGAACAAACCTAGAGTTTCAAGTATAAAGCTGTGTCCGTGGAGTCTCGGGGTTCTCTCGATTCTTCCATACGTTCTCACTGTTCTCTTGGGTCGGGTCATGGCAAGCGGGAAACTCTCGTTCGTGGCTCGCACTCGTTTCGTGGATTGGGCTCTCGGCTGGAGTGGCGGGAGTGAAAACGAAAGCAAAGAGAAAGCAAAGGAACTCTACAAAACGAGAATAGATGTTTCGAAGGAGAAAAATTGCCGCTCGGCGCTGGGGGCGATGACGATGGCGGGGGAGGTGGCGGTGGCGGAAGCGGCAGTTCCTCGACAAGCAGTCCATCGACAAGAGCCGATAAGCGGGGTATCACGTCCCACAGGACGTGGGCAGCATCCGAGGGAAAGCGTCGTTCACGCCGAGAGCTCGGAGTAAAGTTGTCGCAGCTGAACGATGTCCGGCTCGTTGGAGAAGTTATCCGCGACTTCTTCCTCGTTGGGCGGATTGATCTTATTGGGCTTGGGCGGATCATTGCGTGAATTGGGCGGATTGGGCTCCCCTTCGCCAGTCGCCACCAGCTGCTGCTGCACCGCTGCTGGCTCACTGCTGCTCGCTTCGCCGCCGCCACCGTCTTCTTCCCACACGGTCCTGCTCCGAGTGATCCGGGATTCTTTGTATGTCTCGAGCTCAACGCGTTTCTCGTAGAAACGGACACCTATGCAAATCAGACATGGTGAGCAAGGATTGGAAAGCAAGAGAGTCGTGACAAACTTGAGCCGCGAACTCGAGTCCAGCCGTTGTGACTCCCGCCCAGAGCAACGAGAGGGGAGATTGAATTAGCTAGGAGAAGAACAAGAGAGAAGAAGAAGACAAAGAAGAAACGGCTGCTGCGATCGCCGGGGGAGCCCGGAAAGCCGACACCTACACACAGCGATGAGACAAAGTCCGGAAGAAGAAAGCAACAAACTTGGGCAGCGACAAGTCCAGCCCATTTTTCGTGATCATCGATTGGTGATCAAAGATTTCTCGTCCGTACGCGACTTCTCGGCGGCAAGCTCGTGGCTATGGGTTCCTTACAGCACGGATCACGGTGTGTGCTGGAAGCTTGGGAGCGTTCTCACGACGACCATCACTGCGAGAAAAAGAAAGTTTCGCACTCCTCCTGGAAAACGAGGAGGCTTGAACCAAAAACTCAGTCTTGTAGGGTTTGGATGTGGAGGCGGCGCTGTTGTGACGATGTTCCGGATGAGTTGCTCATCCGGATCATGTCCCTCCTCCCCTCCTCCCGCGACTTGCATTCTTCTTCCCTGGTAAGCAAGAGGTGGGCGCGACTGGCACGCCTCGTCACGCATCTTTGCCTCGACTCGAGCAGTCCTGGCGTGGAGCAGGGCCTCGCGCGCTGGTTTGGTCATCACAACAGCCTCCGCCAGCTATCGATCCAGAGCTTCTTCCAGCACCAGCCGGACTGCAGCTCCACTCGCTGGCTGCACCAGGTCGGGAAAAGTCTCCACTCGTTGAGCATCTCGAGCACCAGCTCGCAGCACAAGTTCGATGGCTTCTGGTCCAACGTCTCGGCCTGCCAGGAGCTCCGCTGCCTCCACGTCCATGGCAAGCAACTCGCCCAGCTTGGCGATGCAACTTTGCCTTCACCGCTGCTGCCCAATCTCCTCTTCCTCACCCTCCGCGCAAGGGTGGACGTGACTTCCCTTCGGCAGCTGCTCGACCTCTGCCCCTCGCTCCTGGTGGTGCGCATCAACGGGCTATTGGTGAGATCCCCGGGTACGTAAAAGCCATAGCTCCAAATGTTTGCCCAGTCTCGGCATTTGTTCCAAGCTTGATCCTGATTCTCTTGAATGTGGTTCATGCAGGGACCTACGTGCTCAAGAGCCGCACTCTTGTCAGCTGCCAGTCCGAAGGCTACTTTGATGGCGGCCTCGACAACGTCACCATTGTTCTCGACGCGCCGAAGCTCCGCTGGATGTTCCTTGTCGCCCCGCGCATCGTGCTACTGCCTGCTACGTGCAACATAGACTGGATCCGGATGACTGGAATCATGGGTGGAATCCAGGGGCTGCGCTACTCGAGGCTCACAAAGCTTGCGTTCACCAACCCGTTCTACAGCTCCGCTCAAGTTATGGACAAGGTGGCGAGGTACTTCGCTTGCAGAAAGTCGAGCCTACGCGGGATCAAGACGTTCTACTATTCCGTTTTTGACGATGGCATGCCACTGTTTTCTGTCGATCTTGCTGCATTGCTGGAGCCTTTCCAGGGCCTTGAGATGTTCATCGTCAGTTTCAAGAGCATCAAGGTTAGTGTTTTGGTAATTGTTCTCTTCCCCTCGTGATTTGTGTGTACGTGGTGACTGAATGCAGTTGCTCAACGTGGCAAACTGCACCGCCCCCTTGACAGTCTTTGTGGAGTACTTCTGCGTCACGCACGTCTGGGAAAGTGAAGGTCCCGAACTGGAGGTCATCCGCGAGCTGCTGAGGAGAAGCAGCGGCACCACTCTGGAGTTGAGGGGCTTCTACATTAGAGAGGATGTGAACCCCGAGATCCCTTCGTTGCTTCAGGAGCTTCCAAAGGAATTCCCAGGACGCGTCCAGCTGCCACCCCTGCAGCTTGTGCCCCGGCCCACCTGCGGCATTCTGTGGCGGTCCTGGCAAACAAGTGTTGCCATGGAAGATCCCTACACTGGATTCAGCAACCACTGGTGCAACTTAGTGTACGGGTGGCAGTCCGAAAGGCCATGCGCGTGGGAGTAGCAGTCGCTCCTCAAGACGATGGCAACAATTTTGAGCTGCAAGGTATTCCAAGTACATTTGCAATCCTTCTTTTGATCACCTTCTGACAGATACTTTTCAGGTGAGAGTGCTGTCTCGGACATGAAAAAAAATGTCCCATTGGTGTAACTTTGACGTCCTGATTTATTGCTCGACATCTTCTCGAGGCAAACTGAAAGCACAATTCATGGCAGTTTCACTTGCAGACTTTGCAGACCTCTACAGGCACTTGAAGCTACCTGTGCCTCCTGGAAAACAACATCCTAGTACGGAGAAGCAAGCGCAAATTTGCGTTCACATCATGACGGCAGCAGCAGCCTCAAGTATGGATTGCTGCTGCATGGCAATCTCAAGTGTTAGACAACAGCTTCAAGAAAAAGGCTTTGCGCCACCTTTCTCAGCTTTGGTCTGCGTCGACGTTCAGACTTGAAGTCACTCACTCAAGATCATCCACAAGCAGAGCAACATCCTCTTGACTCAGGCTCTCGGCTCTTCTCTAGAGCAGCCTCTTGCTCAAGTCGGGATGGCGAAAACGCTTGACCGAAGCAAGGACGGGCTCTAGAACTGATACGATGCAATGTGCCACGTAGCATTATACATACAGTTTTGGTTGTATGCATAGCATGTTCTAACCACTTTGTATCATCATGAGCTTGTGAGGTCTTTTGGAACATGAGCCAAAGAAACCCTGTAACTTACAATGCATTGATTGGGTTATACGTCCAAAATGGCAATTGCAAGGGAGCTCTCAAAGTTTCCAGGCTCATGGTATCAAGCTCAATTATCTCAGCTATTATCAATGATTGATTCTTGTCCTGATATGGGGAATTTGCCACAAGGCAAGTCTCTTAGATCGTGGGAGACGCCAGCAAACAAGAACACTATAGAAACCCATTAATCTCTATGTACTTCTGGTGTGGAGACTCCATATTAGTGTTCCACCATCATGATGTCATATCTTGGAACTTGATCCTCTCTTGCTATGCTCAAAATGGAAGAAGTGAGGAGTCTTTGGAGATGTTTTGGGAGATGGATCTTGTCAGCCAGACATGATCGCCTTTAGCACTCTACATCCCAAGTGGCTGTATTTGGTCTCAATAAGGCACACTATTCCATCCCATGTAGCAGAGATGATGCTGGGATATTCTCAAACACACAGCCTGCCTTCTTTTTACAATGCAATGCATGTCTATCAGGCTCTAAGATGTAATTGACTTTTACTTGGCTTACAAAATGGGTTTGTGTTTTGGCTCTAGCCACTAAATTGACGGATTTTATCTTTTAGCTCAAAGTTTTATTCTTTTTTTATTTTCAATTCTTCAAAGTGAGTTTTTATTTTTTGGCTCTTTTAACTAGTATAAATTAACTAGAGGTAATTAATCACATAGATATGTCAGATTTGAATTGTGCTATGGATATTGTTCAGTCATCACCTGCTGAGGATTTGTCAATAGAAACAAATTTATGTGAAGGTTTGGTTTTTCTCTTTATTCTTTAGTTTTCCTTTATTTATTTCTTTTTGGTTTTTTAGTTTCACAAGCAAAGAGGACAAAGTTGACCATCCTAAAAGCCATTATTGCATCATATTTCTTTGGAAAAGCAAATTCAGCCCAGATTCTTGAGCTTAAGATTTTATTTACTTATGGTTTTGAAAAAAAAATTCTTTATTTTTATTTATTTTTTGCCTAGGTATGGAATTTATAAAGTTCATCTTGCAAAGAACACTCTATGAAGTGCAAAGTACCTAACTTATATTAGATATGCATGGCTTGCAAACCTTAACTATATATGAAGATTTATCCATGTGCGTGCAATTATGTAATAAGTTTACAGTTGGCAAATGTTTCTTACTTACAAAGTTTGTAACTTATTCTTTAAAAATTAACAAGATTATAAATTTCTCCCTTTAGATACCCAATTTACCACCATAGAACTTCAAAACAAGTTCTTTATATATTCAAATTATAAATGATTTTGATGTTAAAATAAGATTACAACCATCTAAAGGTGCTTCTATATAATCTTTATGGCTACTAGAGATCTTTCACAAGATATATATGCTGTTGTAATCAATACTAGTGTTTTCCCTAAAATAAAGATTGCCTCTTCTAATAATCCTTTAGATATGATTATAGTAATGTTTTTTCCTATTTAGTTTTCCATTTTTAAGATATTGTTCACAACTCCATATACATCTAGAGCATGAAGAGCAATATCATCATATTGTAGCAGATCTATATGCTAGATACATGCCAAAGTTTTTATATTTTAATATTATAAAAAGCATGAATGTATCAACTAATCTGTATAATTGAAAGCTTAAATTTCAAAGGAAATATAATTAATTTACATTACCTTGTCTTTAGAAGTGAGGCTGCAATGTATTTTATAAACTTCATTGAGCCTTTGAATTGCATTTAAATCAACTTCCAAGTGTTGCTAAATCACTGGATATTTCATCCCTAACAATCAACAAAGCTTTACTCAAGCTGAAAATTTTTGCTCATTTTGCTCTTTTACAATGTTAGAGGAGAGAGAAAATGGTTTTATTGTTTGTGCAAAGTGTAAAGGGTGTTCCATCCCTTGTAAATCAGCTACAATAACTGGTTTTATTATATCAAATGACATGATGAAATATAGAGTTATAGTGCATAATAAAATGGTGGATAAAATTTATAATTTGGATGAAGGGTCTATGGTCAAATTTGCTATGGAATTCTTAGAAAAGATTGCTATGTATCTGTCTTCAACATGGTTTTTTCTATTGAATGAGACAAATATTATTGTCCATTTTGTTCTACATATATGAAGGTAACTTCAAGTAAGTTTCAATTGCTTTTTATATAATAAAAATATCTATTAGTGTAACTTTAAAGCAGTGCTTCTCTTAACAATTCCTAGATTTCAAAACACACAAACCAACAATCCACAACAGCCACAACAACAACTCATAAGATTCCTACTAATTGGGTGCATTGCATAGCAACCTAAAATTCCCTAGCCAAACAATGTAAGAACAATACAAAAGAACTAGTGGAGAGGATCTAAAATGCGTACCATTAGCAATAGAACTTCATGGTACTCATTGTTGGCATTCATGTAGCTTGTTGCAGCAAAGAAAAGAAACTCCATTGAATCATACTTATACTTGAATAATTCAGTTTTCTTTGTATTGGGTATGCTATGATTGTAATATATCTCTAAGCCTTGTGAATTTTCCTTGATCATGTCCTTGGACAAACTTTTAGCTCTGACATGCAAAAGGAGTCACAAATTTTACACTCAATTCTTTACAAAATAAACCTAAGAAATTTGAGAATTTGTCTATCAACCATCTCTTTTTGATGTTAGAACAAAGAAAACTCACTACTTTAAGTTTGATTGTTCAACTGCAACTGAATAATATTTAGCAACTGTATTAACTATTGCTCCAAAGTCAAAAGAGGAGGAGGCTACTACTTTGATATGAAGATGAAAAAAAAAGAAAAAAGAAAAGAGAAAAAATGGAAAAAACTATAAGGAAAAGGAAATTTAAACAATGTAAAAGCTACATCTAAATCAAAATCCCAAAACCAAGCACTCCTTTAGCAATTAATACTGCCTCTTGAGTGCATGGAATATGGAAATAAAATATAAAAATATACATATCTATTAGCCCAAAAACCCTAGCTTATATATAAAAGCAAGTAATTCGGATTTAAATTGATTTATCGGTTATCAAAATCTCACTATGCTAATATTAATATATGGCATTATAGCCATACACTTGGACCTCACACATACAAATAACTATAAATCAGAAAAATTAGAACATTTAAAAATAGAATGTCATATATATCACAAGAAAAAAAATACAGGTAATAAATTTACATAGAAAACATGAGAAAAATATACAAATATTCATAAAACAACTACAAAAATATATACAGAAAATAAATATAAAAAACCAGTAATAATTACAGGAGATTTCAATATTGAATATCAACTTCAAACAATAATGGAGAAAGAAGGACACATACAAATAATAAAAGGCAATACACGTAATAAAAAACTAATAGATCATATATGGATAAAAGATATAATATATACAAAAGCAGGAATAGCACCGCAGATCATAACAAATTATATATCATAATAAAAATTATTTTAAAACAAAAGCAAACCAACAACACAACACACAGCAATTTTTTTATCATTAGAAACTGTTGTTTAAATGATATTGTTATAATGTAATATTAAACTACTACCTCACTTCTTTGACTTTCACCCTGATTTCTATTTAAAAAATGCATTGTTCTAGAGAATGTAATAGCTTGAAGATGTCAAGGTGACCAGTGTACGCCCCGTTTTGTGTTATAAACTTGCACTACACATGAAAAAGGTTATGCTATGCATCACTATCATGCTGCAGCTCTGCTACTAGAGCTGCCAACGTTGCAGTCATTCACGACATGACATGCGGAATTTTCTTTCTCTCTTTTGCTGTATACAGATTTGCTAGCAAAACATAAGTGGAAGCATTCGATGGGTCCAAGCCCAAGACGTTTTGACTCGCAAAACTTCCTCGCTTCTCGTCCCTATGACTCTTACAGGTGTGGGCCATTTCAAAATCAAAGTGAATCGATCGAAACAAGTTTCTTCCAGAGAACACCTCTTCTTTGTGTGACCACGCCAGGAGTACACACAAAAATGTGACTTCATCCGGTGTTTCCACAAGGTTCATCTCGCAAAAGAGCTGGATCGCATCCCTTGACTCTACGTTTTGTGCGAAGCCACCAATAATCGAGTTCCAAAGGATTACATCTTGGCTTAGCAAGCCCTTTTGGCTCGATCCAGATGACCGTTTTTGGCGTATGCAGTAAGCAAGGCAGTCCATGATATTAGATTTCTGATTTCCATTCTATCAAAAATTAGTTTCGCTTCTTTAAGGTAACCATGTTGTGCAAAGCTTGACAGCATTATATTGTAAGAACTTAGGTCTTTTTCTTGCATAGAATCAAATAGGCACTTCAATGCCTCCAAATGCCCAACTTGGGCGTAGCATCACATTCCACGAAATTATGGAATGTTCTTCTATCTGATCAAAGATAAGCTTACTGTGTTTAAGACACCCGTTTTGTGCGTAAGGTGACAACAATGAGGTTAGCGTTCAAGTTAATCCTCTCAAAGAGCGGCCGTGTTGGGCAAATGCCGCAATCATTGCCGTCCACGTGTACGTGTTGGTTTCTTTCATAGCATAGAATATTCTTTCGGCATCCTTACGACACAAGATTCCATTAGATGCCTGTTATCATCCGTCCACGTGTAGATGTTCCGTTCCGGAATGGCATCCATCAAGTGGCCATTCTGGCCGTACGCAGAATCATGGCCGTCCACGCCGGGATGGAATCAAATAGCTCTTTGGCTTCCTGGAGATTCCCCGCCTGGGCAAATGCCCAAAACAACGCAGTCCAGGAGGTGAGATCGCGCTCCGGCATCGCATCGAACAGCGATTTTGCGCGCGCTAGCCGCCCACAACGCGCGTGCCAAATCAACACCGTCGTCCACGCCACTAGATCAGTCTCGGATCGAAGAGCTCCTGGGCCTCGTCCAAGAGCCCCAATCGC